CTAAACGGTTTAAGGACCAGTTTCCATAGTCTGTTACTATTGATGACATCAGAAGATAAAACATAAGATAAATGTGAAACTAAACGGTTTAAGGACCAGTTTCCATAGTCTGTTACTACTGATGACATCAGAAGATAAAACATAAGATAAATGTGAAACTAAACGGTTTAAGGACCAGTTTCCATAGTCTGCTACTACTAATGACATCAGAAAATAAAACAAAAGAAATGTGAAACTAAACGGTTTAAGGACCAGTTTCTATAGTCTGTTACTATTGATGACATCAGAAGATAAAACATAAGAGAAATGTGAAACTAAACGGTTTAAGGACTAGTTTCCATAGTCTGCTGCTACTGATGACATCAGAAGATAAAACATAAAAGAAATGTGAAACTAAACAGTTTAAGGACCAGTTTCCATAGTCTGTCATCAATAGTAGCAGACTATGGAAACTGGTCCTTAAACCGTTTAGTTTCACATTTCTCTTATGTTTTATCTTCTGATGTCATCAATAGTAACCCACTTAGCTAGACAGACCTATATGGGATGAACCCCACTTAGCTAGACAGACCTATATGGGATGAACCCCACTTAGCTAGATCTATATGGGATGAACCCCACTTAGCTACATAGCTTAGGACTTACTATCACATTCTTGAGGAACTAACGCAGTAGTAGATTTAATAAATCCATTCTAAGTTACATAGATTTATATAGTAATATAATTCCTTTACGTGTAACAAGTTCATCAGTAGAATACAGGATTATCTTTGTAGAGAACACCAGAGTGATTTATGGTCATATATAGACGGATGAATGAACAGATAGACGTATATTCTACAATTCTTTGTCAATATAGTTATACATTCAAATCAATATATGTATTAATCCTTTCTTTTCCTCCCAACCAGCCCCACAGTAAACTACTGACAGATCTCGAGACAGCGAAAATCGAGATAGCTTCACAACACGGGTTTGTAGATGAATCAAAGTCGGCTGTACACAAGTTAAAAGTAAGTATTGTCACGTGACAAGCAAGCCGTCTTTAAATACAAATATACAGTCGTGTGAGAAGAATTGAGCCCACAGCAGATATGCATTGAAACGTAAATGTTATTGCATGTGAAAACTGATTACATAACATTAATATGATTATTATTTAATTTTATATATCAAGTATTCGCTATTAGTTAGAATTCCTACCACCAGTTGCTATCAATATTTTAGTTGGATTATTTTGTATTAAAAGTTATTTGTAAAAGTTATAAAACTACTGATAGAACATTTCTGATTCTCCAGAGTCGTGTGGGCGCTGTACAATTATGACTGTCCTTTCATCAGTTCTGTTAGTTCATCAAGCATCTTTATTCCTTGGCTTCCTTTATTTTTATCTTTTCTCAGCTAGCCTCTCTCTCTTATTTTCTTGTTAATGTTGTACCAATACTTGTTCAATACTTTTCAAAATATATGTGTATTAAAATATATTCAGCCTCAAAAATTGATTAACTAATTTTCTTATAAGATCTCTAAAGTTGTTGGTGTTTCTCTGTAGATCACACATCTCATATTAACTAGAATTTCCATCGCCAGTTTTTACTGTTTAGCCCTCAGTGGTAAGGTTTATAACGCTAAACTAGGTTTCGATACCCGTAGTGGGTACAGCATTTTTTAGCATTGAGCTTAACAACAAACACACAATTATGAAAAAATTTAACTGTTTAATTATTCTATTTATTATTTTATATTCATTGTTATCCCTGAAATTATTAAAATATTAATACACATATATTAATAACAGGTATCGGAATACTGAGAGATAAGAACCCCTATTTCCAATATAGGGAGGCAGGCACCCAATTCAACCCATATAAAGTCCTGGAATTGAATTTTTGGTTCAAAATATTGATTCACTATAAACAAACGAAGATTTTAAAATGAATTGGATGGCTGCAGGTAAATAGTCGAAACGATAAGTTAAAGATTTGAAGTTTGAAAGAGACTATGGAAACTGGTCCTTAAACCGTTTAGTTTCACATTTCTTTTATGTTTTATCTTCTGATGCCTTTATCCTATACAGGACTAGCTAAGTGGGGTTCATCCCATACAGGACTAGCTAAGTGGGGTTCATCCCATACAGGACTAGCTAAGTGGGGTTCATCCCATACACGTCTAGCTAAGTGGGGTTCATCCCATACACGTCTATCTAAGTGGGATTCATCCCATACACGTCTATCTAAGTGGGATTCATCCCATACACGTCTATCTAAGTGGGATTCATCCCATACACGTCTATCTAAGTGGGATTCATCCCATACACGTCTATCTAAGTGGGATTCATCCCATACAAGTCTATCTAAGTGGGATTCATCCCATAC